AAAACCACAGGAATCAAACCATTTCTTTCACCTTTTCAAACCAGCAGATTGAAGAGTCTCACACCTGGGGGCGGGGTCTCCCTCCTGCCCCCCAGCTTCATGAATAAACACCGTCACATATTTTCTATCATAAACACGATTGACTCAGATGTTCAGAGAGAATACTTTGACTCACCCCGTCTGTCTCTGACCTGTGGTCCAGTACACCCGGGTCTGGATCCCTGACCCTGAGGATGTGTGGAAGGCTGCGGAGATCACCAAGGACTACCAGGAGGGGGGGCCGGTTCTTCACCTCATGCTGGAAGATGAGACGGTGAGTGACACCTGTTGGCAGCTGTAATTATTACAAACACTCTATATGTATATATGTATATATTTACACGTGTGTGTGTGTGTGTGTGTTTTACCCCAGCCTCTGGAGTACCCCGTGGGTCCGAAGACTAACCCCCTTCCTTTCCTCCGTAACCCCGACATCCTGGTGGGGGAGAACGACCTCACTGCTCTCAGTTACCTCCATGAACCCGCGGTGCTGCACAACCTCAAAGTTCGCTTCCTGGAGTCCAACCACATCTACACGTACTGTGGTCAGTCTGTCGTCCGACCGTTGTTATCGGAACACGTTAGCATAAATAATTATGTAATATCTGTACAAAAAGTTATCGTTTATTTTGTTCCTCTGATAATGAAAACCCCATAATGCCTGGGATTGGGCGAATGATGTGTGACCTAAAAAAAAGGTTTTGGGAAAAAACAGTTGATATCGGTGTCGGAAATTAAGTGTTTGGACGATATCGGTATATCGGATGTCGGCAGAAAGTGAATATAGGACCTAGCCTACCTCGTTATGTTGTCAAACCATTTGATTGATCCACAGATTCGTACGTTTATATTTTCATATCACGTTGGTCAGTCATGGACGTGACATCACCGTCACCTGGTGGACGTGACGTCATCGTTACCTGGTGGACGTGAGGTCACCGTCACCCGGTGGACGTGATGTCACTGTTACCTGGTGGACGTGACGTCACCGTCACCCGGTGACGTAACCGTTACCCGGT